TTTTTTTTTTTTTTTTTTTTTAATTCTACCACGTTTGCATTTTGGCAAGGAAATTTAGTCCCCAGATATCCTACGAGAGGCCCCTGTGCTATTTTTGAGAACTCAGTGAAGATTAAAGGTTGCGTACATAGTTGCCTGGAGGCATGCGGGGAAATACAAAACGGTGTTCCTACTTAATACTTTACTTTCTCTTAATTTTTGGAGTTGCCGCTAAACTTTCTGTCTGCTTAATTAAGGTAAACATTTAACACTTGGTGGAGAGAGTTTGGATGAACATTCGAAAAAGAACGTTTCCGGGGAGTCGATAAGCGGAGAGCAGCAGGTTGCACGCGCTTGCTACTCAGGCCCAACACCTGCGCAGCGCCGCAGCTGTCCAGGGAGGAGCGGGCGGAGCAGTGCGGTGCGGAGCTGCAGGTGGGCGTGAGCCTCGAGGTGGCTGAGGCTGATGCTTCAGCTGGGTAAGGGTAATAGTTAAGGGCAAAGGCAATCTGGTTAGACTGCGGCCGCCGCCAAGGGGGCGCGCGGAGCTCGGGTTTCTCCGCGCAGCTACTACGCTAAGTGCGGCAGCCCCAATGCTGAGTGTTTTCCTGCATCCTAGCAACAGCCCGGGCTCAGAGTCGCGGCGGCTCAGGGCAAGGTCTGGGCACAGAGCTGAGGCGGCGGCAGGTGAGTGGAGTTCGCGAGGTCAAGGCCGCAGGAAGCGGTTCTCGCTGCTGCCGGGGTCCGGGCGACCCCAGGCAATTTGCAGCCCCGCTACGAGCGCGCTACACCAACCGCCGGCGGAACCTGCTTGCGCCAGCCACACGCTGGAATCTTTGCAGTAGGAGTTGTTCCTGAAAGAGGGTCTGCTCTCAGGCCTCTACTTTCCCCTTTCTGTCTCCCCTTTGTGACCCGAGAGCCTCCCTCTCCTCTTCTTCCTTCCACCCTTTCTTTCCTCTACCGCCCCGCAGGAGCCCAGACCCTTCCCGGGCCTTGCACTTCTGCTCCTTCGAACCCGCGCCCTACTCTGTGGGGGCCAAATCTCTTCCCATATTCACACTGCTTCCCTGGCCGCCTCCCAGCCTCTTAGCCCTCCGGTTTCCCTCTTTTGCTTTCTCCTCCTCCCTTGCAGCTTTGCCTCTTTCTCTCCTAACTTGGTCTTCACCGCCCCCTTCACGCTCTGCGCCCTCCCTCCTCCCTTGAAACCTATCTTTCCGACGCAAACACTTTACTCCTGTAATGTGTTTGGTTTGTGCCATCTCCCGGTATCTGCTCTCGAGGTTTGGGTTTGATTCCATTTAGGGCCCTGTTCGTGTCATCTGAAATTTTAATTTTTTCAGTCGGTCTTAATGAAATAGTTTTTATCGTTCTCAAAATGTTGATTCCCAATTGATGTTACCAACTACATTTATTTATCTCAGAATGCACACTTATTCCCATAACCTCACAGTTTTGATTTTGCTTCTCCTTAAATGCTACAGAAATTATTCCCGAATGGGTTTTATCTGGTTATTAATGCTATTGGAAGCTTGAAAAGGACACAAATTCCAAATCTATTTTGTTGTTGGTTGGGAAAAAAAAGTACAAAGTCGTTCCCAGTTTATGTAAACAACCACAAATACACAAGAACTACTTTTTTCTTTTAATAGCTAAATGGTTTTTCTCTATAAAATCTCACTTTTAATTCAAAGATATATACTATATGTTCATGTGAATTTTAATTATGGAATAAATCTAATGTGTTAGTAGTAGGTGGAAACTGAGGAGCAGCAGACTTGATAAAAAGTGTTAGTGTTTTTTTAAAATTTTTACCTGAATTATATTGATCATTTTCAACCACCACTGGAAGTAGTGGAATAAATGCTATACCTTTTGTTCTCTTGATAAGAAGCCATCAGAAGTTTCTATTTAAGATGAAAAATACCTGATTATCCTATTTTTAAAAAACCTCATTCAGTTAGCCCTGCACAGCCCTTCTTTGTTTTTTCTTTTTTTGACCATTTTATACATAATATCTTCTGTGGGATTCCATTCCATGTTTTTTTTTTTTTTAATATTGTACTTGCCTTCTGGATTGTCACAGGCCCCACTCAGTTTTTCTCAGGCCTTCTGCTAACCAGTCTTCTTGAATAAAGTCTACCATTCCTTCATCTCCTGGTTCCCAAGACTCAGAAAAACAATTTGAGTAGCCTCAAAATAATTTACATTTTCAGTTCTATAAAAATTTATTACAATTAGAAGAGGAACGTTTTGCATTTCTTAGCTCCTTTTAAAGGGTCTTTTAAGTTGCTACTAAGGAGCTCCTCGGAAGAAAGGTTGGGCAATCCTACTTCCATAGTGATACTGCCTCGGAAACCCAAGGAGGGGTCGCTATGAGTCGGGGCGACTCGATGGCACATAACAACAACAACAACAACTAAGGAGCTCTGGCAGTGTAGTGGTTAAGGCATTTGTTTGTTAACCAAAATGTTGGTGGTTCCAACCCATCAACTGCTCTGCAGAAGAAAGATTACGGAATCTGCTTCCATAAAGATTTACAGCCTTGGAAACCCAATGGGGATCAGTATGAGTTGGAATTCACTTCACAGCAGTGAGTTTGGTTTTGGAACGTGTTACTGTATAGTATGTTGACTTGCGCATTGTTATGTAATCTCAGTAATATTTCTTTAAAAAGGTGAAATAAGGAAATGATTAATATAGTCTTTCTTTGAAGATTACCAAAATAAGTATTACACTTGAGATTAAAAGCAAACAGACCTGTCCACTTAAGCCATTCTGTTAAGTTCAGACTTTTAACATACTTTTAGGAAACTGAAGAGTGTCACACCTCCACATCAGCACATGCTTATAAGTTCAGAATCTTAATGTTTTTTCATCACCCAGTCATAGAAGTAAAACACTGAGATACTAAAACAAATGTAGCAAATAAAAAGAAACAAATTTATTCCTTACTTTTAGACATTTTAATCCACTAGCAGATATCTAGATCAGTAGTTCTCAATCCAGTCTCATCCAATGCTCAGTTTTATAACAAATATTTTGTAATGCCTCCTTTATTAGTATGAAGTAGAAATCATAGCTAGTAAGTCCTAAGTCCTACCTGTGTATATAATTTAAAAAATCAATATATAGAGAAAATAAAATCAAAAAGAAAGTAAATGTTATAAACCATCAGGTGGTGAATGATAGGGTACCACTACACTGGCATGTATCATGAAGCAGTCAGATGCTTGCAGCCTAACATAGAATTACTGTGAACACAACAGCTCCAGATGAAGACTAATGCTGGTATGTACTGATTTGACAACGTTTTCTTTTTCTTTTTTTTTTTTTTGGTGGGGGCTAGGAATTCAGGGACTGTTACCTGTTCTGTTGAATTGAAGAACAATTAAGAAAAACAAAAAACCTGTTGCTATTGAGTTGATTCTGACTCATGGCAGCCTTATGTATAACAGAGTAGAACTGCTCCATAGGACTTTCTTGGCTGAAGCCTTTAGGAAAACAGATCACCAGGTCTGTCTTTTGCGGTGCTGCTGAGTGGGTTTGAATCACCAATCTTTTGGTTAGCAGTTGAGTGTTGAACCGTCTGTGCCAGCGAGGGACCTTCAGAAGACTAATTAGATAACTAAAAACCAAATTTCTAAGATTAAAAACCAGAGTGTGGGTTTGGGTAGTACTAATTTTGAACTTAAAAATGAAGAATGTTCTTATGAAAACTTGGGTGCTGTGGTCTCTTTCTAACTTCCTCCTCTGACGTAGTGTGTGTGCTGAGCTCAGATTAGAGCCTTGGATGCCATGGGTGTGGCACTGACAAGGTCAGCCCAGTGGACTACTGTTGGACATGGGACTACAGCTCTGGAAATTACCCCCCTAAATGAAGTGATATTAAAGGAAATTATTCTGTTTGTGGAGAGTTTTCTCTATAAGCATGCCCAAGAGGCAAAATTTGTTTTTGAGGAACCACTCAGATGGGAAACAAATGTGGAGCCATCAGCATTTGGATCAGGTTATGTTGTCAGGTAAGCCAGTCAACTGCTTCTAGAATTTTTAATATTTCATTCTGCACTTTTGTATTGATTGATTTTTGGTTTGAAGCAAGTCACTTTTCTGAATCTCAGAAGTCATCTAAACCATGGATTGCAAACTGGAAACACTCAGGTGAAATCGTAGAGTATGTCATCTGGCCAACGCAATATTTATCTATTTTTTAACATTTAATTTGAATTTCTTTTGATAGGAGATATATTTTTCAGGTCATCATATGCCTAACAGCCCATGTTGCTTTATTTCCAATCATCTGTATTACCTGCCTGGCCCCAGTTGTTGTTGTTATGTGCCGTCGAGTCGGACCCACCTCATAGTGACCCCTCCTTGGGTTTCTGAGGCACTATCACTATGAAAGCAGATTGCCCATCTTCCTTCCGAGGAGTGGCTGGTAGGTTTGAACTGCCAGCCTTCTATTTAGCAGTCAAGTGCCTTATAGGTCCTAGGTACTGGTATTGTGACCTTTGATATAAAGTCCCTCTGGTGTTAAATCTATCCATTCCTAGGAGTGTCAGAGGAGGATGCAGAGTTTTGCTCAAGGTAAGGGTGAGAATTCTTAACAATCAGAGCTGTTCTCATATGAGAACTTGTAAAATTCTTTCCAAATTTGAGATTAAAAAAAAAAAAGAAAAAATCCTACATCTATATTTACTTCCCAGAGTGGGCTACCAATTTTTCTTTCTAAACCTGGCATCTCTAAGGCAGTCCCTGGGTTATGAACGAATGTCCATTTTACATAAATTCATGGTTATAAACCAACCCCCATAAAGCCTGTTATATTAAAAATTTGAGGTACATACGATGATTCATATTCACAAACTAGCAATACTTTGTGAGGCACAACAAAACATTGTTATTATTACCATATTATTACATTAAAGAGGTTTTAGTGTATCTGGAAATGTTTCATTTTTTTGTGCTTAGAAAGGTACACAATATACCATACACTGAGACAAACATTTGACTAGCTGACGTTAGATACGAACCGTACCTAACTGTTCTGACCTATGTAAAAATTCAACTTAAAGACAGATTTAGGAATGGAACTCATTCATAGTCTAGGGATTGCCTGTATATATAAAGATATATATATATATATATATATATATATAAACACATATGTTGTTGTTAGGTGCCATCGAGTCATCTCCAACTCATAGTAAACCTATGCACAGCAGAACAAAACACCGTCTCGTCCCGCGCCAGCACCATGATCCTTGCTATACTTGAGCCTATCAATGCAGCCACTGTGTCAATCCATCTAGTTGAAGGCCTTCCCCTCTTTTGTCGACCCTTTACCTTACCAAGCATGTTATGCTTCTCTAAGGAATGGTCCCTCTTGACATGACCAAAGTAGGTAAGACAAGTCTGGCCATTCTTGCTTCTAAGGAGCATTCTGGCTGCACTTGTTCCAGGACAGATTTGTTAGTTCCTTTAGCATGGTACTTTCCATGATACTTTCAGCATTCTTCTCTAACACCACAACTAAAAAGCAGCCACTCTTCTTCAGTCTTCCTTATTCATTGTCCGGCTCTCACATGCATATGTGGTGACTGAAAATATGGCTTGTGCCAGGCGCACTTTAGTCCTCAAGGAGACATCTCTGCTCTTCAGCACTTGAAAAAGGTCCTTTGCAGTCCATTTGCTCAGTGCTGTATGTCGTCTGATGTCCTGACTGCTGCTTCCACTGGTGTCAACCATAGAACCAAGCAATATGAAGTCTTTGACAACTTCATTCTCTTTTCCATTTATCATGATGCTGCGTATAGGTCCAGTTGTGAGGATTTTTGTTTTCTTTATATTGAGATGTAGTCCATACTACAGACTAGTCTTCAGTCTTCATCAGTAAGTGTTCCAAGTCATCTTCACTTTCAGCAAGCAAAGTTGTGTCGTCAGCATATCTTAGGTTGTTAATGATTCTTCCTTCAGTCCTGATGCCATGTTCTTCTTCATATAGTCAAGCTTCCAGATTATTTGCTCAGGATATAGATTGAATAAGTATGGTGAAAGGATACAACCCTGATGCACTCCCTTCTTGATTTTAAACCATGCAGTGTCTCCTTATTCTGTTTGAACGACAGCCTCCTGGTCCATGTACAGGTTCCTCATGTACAATTAAGTGTTCTAGAAGTCCCAGCCTTCTCAATGTTATTCATAATATGTTATGGTCCGCACAATCAAATGCTTTTTGCATAGTCACACAAGTAAACATCTTTCTGGTATTCTTTGCTTTGAGCTAAGAGCCATCTTACATCAACAATGATATCCCTCATTCCACATCCTCTTCTGAATCCAGTTTGCATTTCTGGAAGTTTTCTGTCAATATACCACTGAAACCATTTCCAGTAAGATTTTACTCGTGTATGATATTAATGATATTCTATAATTTCCACATTCGGTGGAATCACCTTTCTTTGGAATGGGTACAAACATGGATCTCTTCCAGTCAGTTAACCAGGTAGTTGTCTTCAAATCTCTTGGCATAGCCAAGTGAGTTGCCTCCAGTGTGGCATCAGTTTGTTGAAACATCTCAATGGGTATTCCATCAATTCCTGGAGCCTTTTTTTTTCACCCCCTCCTTCAATGCAGCTTCAATTTCTTCCTTCACTACCATTGGTTACTGATCATATGTCACCTCCTGAAATGGATGAGCATCAACCAATTCTTTTTGGTACAGTGACTCTGTATATTCCCTCCATCTTCTTTTGATGTTTCCTGCATCAATCAATATTTTGCCCATAGAATCTTTCAGCATTGCAACTTGAGGCTTGAATTTTTTCTTCAGTTCTTTCAGCTTGAGAAATGCTGAGTGTGTTCTTCCCTTTTGGATTCCTAACTCCAGCTCTTTGCACATTTCATTATAATAATTGACTTTGTCTTTTTGATCTGCCCTTTGATTGACTTTGTCTTTTTGATCTGCCCTTTGAAATCTTCTATTTAGCTCTTTTGTCTTGTCATTTTTTCCATTTGCTTTAGCTACTCTCCACTCAAGGGCAAATTTCAGAGTCTCTTCTGACATCCATTTTGGTCTTTTCTCATCTTTTTAATGACCTCTTTCTTCATGGATGATGTTCTTGATGTCATCCTACAGTTCCTCTGGTTTTTAGTCATTGGAGTTCAGTGTATCAAATGTATTCTTTAGATGGTCTCTAAATTGAGGAATGATATATTCCAGGTCATATTTTGGCTCTCATGGACTTGTTTTAATTGTCTTCAACTTCAGGGTTAACTTTCATATGAGCAGCTGATGATCATTTCCACAGTCAGCTCTTGGCCTTGTTTTGGCAGAAGATATTGAGCTTTTCCATCATCTCTTGCCACAGATGTTTTTTTTGTTGTTGTTGTTTGCCGTCGAGTCGGCCCCGACTCATAGCGACCCCTCCTTGGGTTTCCGAGGCAGTATCACTATGGAAGTAGGATTGCCCAACCTTCCTTCCGAGGAGTGGCTGGTGGGTTTGAACCGCCAGCCTTCTGGTTAGCAGTCAAGTGCTTTAGCCACTATGCTACCAGAGCTCCCGTATATATATATATATATTTATATATATATTTATTTATAATCACTGCTGTCAAGTTGGATCCAACTCATAGCGACTCCTTCTTGGGCTTCCGAGGTGATACTATGGAAGTAGATTGCCTTCCTTCCGAGGAGTGGCTAGTGGGATCTATCTATCTATCTATCTAATCTATATCTCTATATAGATCTATCTATATAATTTTTTTAGCCAGCTTCAGTTTTAAGTTCCAAATTATACAACATGACCACGCAAATGGAGTCCACCTAGTTAGGTGGACAGTAATCTGCTCCTCAAACATAGGACTTTATTTATCTTTTTCTACCCTTGTCTACATTTTATCCCTGTATTTCCATTCTTGTATCTCTGCACACTGTGTTTATGCTCAGTGTTGCCTCTAAGCAAGAAGTTTGATAACGTGTGTTTTAAAACAACTGTCTTTTATCGGATTTTTCTTTTATCAAATTTACCATGCAACTTGGTCTTGAGCTAAATTTTCTATCTATCATTTTTGTTTCTGATCTTTATTGATGCTATCTTTAGAGTTGGAAAGGATGATGGGGACTTGGTAGGAAGACAGTCCTGGCAATCTCCTTCCAAAAATAAGCTAATGAAAACCCTGCAGACTGCACAATATTTTCTGAGACTTTGACTCACTTTGGACATGTCATTGGAAGGTTTCAGTCATTAGATTGTGTTTGGAGAGCCAGCAAGGATGAGGGAGACCTTCAATGAGATGGATTGACAGTGGACAATGAACTCAAACATAACAATGATCATGATTTTCTATTACATGTGGAGTCACCATGAGTCAGAACTGATTCAGTGGCATCTTTACAACAACAGTTGAAGGAAATCATACCTGTATGGCCTTGATGAAAATCATATAGGTATTGATTGCCCTGATGAGGAATACAGCTGAGATTTGGCTATAGCGAAAAATACCCATGCTTTTACATCCAGGTCTTGACCATACCCCTTACTCTACCACCAAAATCAAAGAACTTTTAGCAACCCATAGCCCATAAGTATCTGCTGCTTCTAGCAACATAACAAGACATATAAACCAGAGATACCCTCATTGGCCAGAAGTATTTATTATTAAAGCATAGTCCCAACCACCTCATCTTACGCCCTTCAGTTTGCATGTTCTCTTCTTGCAGTATCTGCTGCTTCTAGCAACATAACAAGACATATAAACCAGAGATACCCTCATTGGCCAGAAGAATTTATTATTAAAGCATAGTCCCAACCACCTCATCCTATGCCCTTTAGTTTACATGTTCTCTTCTTGCTTAGCTGCCGGCCTTCAGTACTCTGTTTATGCATTTGTTTACAGTGGGGAAGCTGTTCTCCTTCCACACAGGTTTTAGGCCTGTTAGTCTAGAAGGCCAAAGTTATCATGAAGGTTTTAAGCTTGATGTCTCTGAATGTGTTTTTACCAAGTAGTAATGTCCGTTAGT